GGGGGGAGGGGGCATGAAAGTTGCTACAGCCTCCTCCAGTAACCTGAAACAGCTCCCACACCAGCCTCTCTGCAGGGGCTGCGAAAGGGCCCAGGCCCTCTGCCCACGGGCACCTGCGGCGCTGCTACCAGCTTTGCCCCAGGCAGCAGTGGGAAACGCCGGCCACAAGACGGCAGCCCAGCATCACTGCGCAGCTGCAGCCCCCGTGCCCCTGGCCTGGTGGCAAGGGGGTGGCTGGCAAGGGTGACCCCGCAGCTCTGGCGCGGCACCTCCCCTCTCGCACATGCACGGGGACCCCTTGCTCCAGCAGGCGCCTCCGGTGTCCAACACATCCAGCCAGGACAGCAGGGCCCTGCTGGGGAAGGTGGGGGGAAGGGGAAGAAGGAGAGTTTGTACCTATTTGAAATTCTGAGGGCCTCTCCCCCCCCCCTTTTTTTTTTACAGGTTTTGCTTTAATAAAAAGGCGAAAAGAAGGTGAGGGGAGGGGAGGGGCAGTATTTTTTTCCTTTGGCAAATTACAAGTGACAAAAACTAGAAACACAACCCTCAGTATCATGCAGTCTATTTTACATTACTATAGAAAGCCCCTTTGTCCTGGTCTATGAGGGTAACATCGAATTGTCCCCAGACACCCTACAGGCAGCCTCAAAGCTGTATTAAAAATTTTATGCACCCCCCCCCCAAACAAAAACAAAAAAAGCCCCGTGCCAACAGCAAGTCCGAGCCCATCAGCCCACGCTCTGCCTGAAGGGCTTCATGCAGCCCCCTGTGAAGGGGCTGCCGCCCTGGAAATCTTTCAGCACCTCCCTGGCTTACAATGCTCTGCTCTGTCAGAAAGTGTTGCACGCTGGAAAGCCGGTTTGATGGCAGTGGGGATACAGGCAGGTATCCCACCCCATGCACTGGCACCACGCAGCTGCGGGTGCTGCGTGCAGCGGGAACACGCGGGTCGCTGACAGCACCCACTGCTGGGCCCGGCCTGGGAGCATGTGGGCCTGCACCGCCCTAGCAGCGTGACTTGACACGTTTGACCACAGACCATAATGTCACTGTAGGTGCAGAGAGGCAGGGAAATGCTGGCAGTCCGGGCAAACAAACACTGAAAGAAAGGAGCAAAACTGCTGCACTTCAGTGACTCTGGTCGCTAGCCTGGCTGCAGTAACATGGAGATCTGCTCATGGAGTTAGACACGGTCACTCAGGGCCTGGGGCAGCTCCCTGCCCCTTCCCCAGGCCCAGCCCCAGCCTCTCTCTGCTTCGCACGGGGCCTCAGAAGGGCTGCGCACTGGCAGGGCTTGGACAAGCTCCTGCTGGTGCTCACGTCACGTCAGACGCTGTCCAGGCGGCTGCCCTGGCGCAAGAGCCAGCTACAGCTGGAGGCTCCCAAGTTTATTCCATTCAGTCTGTTACAGCATGGCCTTAACCCAATGACAGCATCACTCTGTCGTTCCTAGGGCAGACTAGCACAGCCTCACTTGGCACCTACTTGTTAGGTGCACCCACAGCAGAGCATTTTTAACTGACTAGATTAAAAAGCAAAAGATGGACAGAAGGGGCTACAGATCCTTCAAGTGGGATTAACTCCTCCCCCACCCCGTGCCCATCAGTAGTTCCTCCTAGCGATGGGGAAGGCTGGGAAGAGCTAAGACTACTACTACACTACTAGTCAATGATTGGCTTTCCATGGGAAAAGCAAGTGCACACAGCAGCCCTTGTTACTTCCACTGAAGAGCTTTTTGGCAACAGCCCTGAAGATGATAATTGCTGTTTGTCCTGCCTCTGCACAGGGCTCTCGCAGCACATACGCAAATCTAGTCGTCAAGTACAGCATATCCAATTTACAATACCTGATTACCTTTTTTAGGATTATATTGTGCATATAGTTGGGGGGGAGCTGGGAGTTAGGTGTTGTAGTGCAAGCAGGCGTGAGTAGATTTGAACCTCTGATTACAGCCCCTAGAATTTATCCTCAGCCCCAAGGGGAACCTGTAAACTTCATTTTCCCTTCACCATTAGCAAGTCCTGTTCAACCCATCAGCACCCACAGCTGGGAGTCTGCAGTGGAGAGGAGCACATTTACATCAGTGCTTAACAAAAAACAAACCTGTGGCATTCAAAAGATGAAACGAGGAGGAGAAGGGGTTCTCTGGGCTGCAGCCATCTTCTTAATAGTCTGAACGCAAAGGTGAACGACTCAAAGCCAGCTCTGTGTGCCCCTGCACCAGCCCACACGTGCAGAGCTGCAGCCAGGTGCATACGCCAGAGCCGTAAGGAACTACCTTGGAGCTGGCCCTGCGCACAGCTCTGTGTCCAAGGGCAGTCCTGCAGCTGCATGGGAATTGTGTAGAAATGGGGGTGTCCATGGGCCAGGAACCCTTCGGCAAAAGCATCCAGGACATCCAACGCGCCAGGCACTGCTGCCGAGGGAGGCACCACACGGGCACACAGTATTCCTGAGACAGATCCCAGAGCCTGCCAGAAGAAGCCAGAATTTGGGTGAAGTATCAGCTACTCAGCGAGTTTGTTACATCTGCATGGGTCAACGTCACATGGCTCATGAAAGCCACTGCTGGCAGCCGGAAGCGCCACTTGTTCCAACAACTCAAATCACTATTGTTTTATAATGGAGGAAAAAAAAAAGAAACAAAGAGTGGTTGTTATAATTATCCTTCATTCAGTTATTTTGGATGGGGCCCCCGAGGCTGGAGAAGATCCGGGAAGCCCGCGGAGCTCCTGCAGCAGCAGATGCAGTGCTCGGTCCTCTGGCGGTCACTCCGAGTAATGCATGATGGACTCCACGTAGTTCCCTGGGAAGAGGCCCGTCACTCCATTCATGACCCCTTCGTACCAGCCGTCATCATTCTTCTTGATGACATAGATGATGGCACCTTCCTGAAACGAGAGCTCGTCTTCTTTGTCCTTCGTGTAGTCATAAATCGCTACCACTAGGAAAGAACAGAGAATGACTATTATTAGGAGAGAGACAGAGAGGACGAGGAAAAGCAGGCAGTCGGACAGAAACTTCTGCACATTTGAGGCAATCTTAGAAAACTGCACTGCTTCACTGCAGAATGACCAGTCAGAGGGGCTTTTTTCATTTAACTCCTTTTGTAAGAGCTCATGCTTCGAAATACATTGTCCAGGACTACCAGACTCTCTACTACTCAGTCATCTGTTCTCCATGCACACAGACTGCTCCCCGCCAGACCCAGCAGAGGGGAAAGTTAACAAACAAATCCCCAACATCTGCTGTGGGCGGATATGAGGAGGTTGCGTAAATCACTCTGGCTATGACCACTCAGAGCAGTTTTTGCACATTACATATGTGCAAAATCAGAGCTCTGCGCAAGAAAACATATAAGAGGGAGAGCTGTAAGAGCCTTTTTTCAGATCACAGCAAGAATGAGCCAAGGCTCCACAGTTGCAACTTCCTCCATATTTAAGATCTGTAAAATACACATGTGCATACCCAGTAGCTTGTAGTGAATCCGTGGCTTTCTGGAACCAAGCTAAGTGAACTGCAGCTGAGAAGTGACAATAAGAAAGGTGGTGCTCTCAAACAAAATGCAGGCCTGACATACCAGGGATTTTTTCTTACAGCTGCAGAACAGCTCATATTAGAGACAGCATGGAAGCTATTTTGGAAAGTCAAAGAAATTGGTCAAAGCACTGGCAAATATTATGGAGAACATTGTCATGAAATGGCAGAAAACAGACATCACTGTGACAGAGGAGTTTTTCCAGCCGCAGTTCTATGATTCTGTGCACCATACAGACGACGAGCTATGCCAGCCTGAATACTGCTTTTACAAATAGCATCAATCACTGCTTTGAGCACTTTCCAACGAACACACAGCACTGCCCTTGAGACAAAACGCATGTTGGATAGGGATCCAACTCCCCATACTGGGGACAGAAAGGAGGACACCCTGAACCAAACCAAGGGGAAAAAAATTAACAGCATGTCCAGGAGCGCAGCGTCCCAGAGTCCTACTAAATTAGTAATTCTTTTCAAGGGAAAAGATGATATTTTCTGTTGAGGAAGCAAAGCACTCAATACAAATATTTCCTATGGAAACCTGGCTCCTGACAGGACTGTAAACACATACAAATCAAGATCCGTGGTGAATCAAAATATGTACAAGAGGATATTTTTTAAATCAAGTGTCCAGAGCTGGAGATTTGTATAATTTATCCAGCACATATTTATTTTTTTATGTTGCTGGCTTTACATTCATGCCAGTGTGCTTGTAAACTGATCTATTCCAACCGGTTCTAGACATGCCATCCTAAGGAAGCAAAACATGAATGAGGAAATCAATCACTCTTTGCATCATTTTTAGTGTAGAAAACAGAGATGATTATCCACCTTATATGAACATATATGCAATTAAAGTCTTTCAAAATTCCTTATTAGCTGTTCTCTGCACCTACTCATTTTAAACCATTTCTTTCTAGATTCCTTGTGCCGCTCCTCTTCTCTTGATTTACATGAAAATACCTTATGCATATACTAAAAAAATGTGGATCACAGTAACTTCCGATTTCTTTTTCATTTGCCAGAGTACTCTAGTCCCTTTGGATAAATACTGAATTCATCCATTGTTCCATATTCACAAGTAGGAAACTTTTCCATCAGTTTGTGATGAACATTTGCTGCTTTTTAAGCCTCTTATAAAATTACCTGAAGCCTGGTTTTGTTTTTCTATCACTATTGCTTCCTCCTGCGCATCACTTTTGTGCTGGCAGCTTTTCCCCTCGCTAAATGACTGTTTAATCCTTCTGTCTATAGTCCCACCACCTCAAGCTCTGAGCCTGTCACATACCACGATTCCCAGGAAGGCCAGGCCAGTACTGCAAGAAAAGCTCCAGATGAGGCAGGAAACAGCAGTACTGACTCAGGAGGTGGCATCCTTCCCTGCAAGACTGAGCCAGGGCCTGCTTTAGTTTGTATCTGAACACATTTCAATGCAGGGATGAAAAACAGAATTACTCAAGATGGTTTTCTTCCAAATGATGATCTTTCCTTATTCTCCAACAACTGTACTGAATTTGGCTGAACACTTGTTACATAAAGCTGACCATGACTGTCGGCCAGACTGATTCTCCAGCTGAAATTTGAACCACGCTATTTCTCTAGATGCCTTGGGGGAGCGTCTGCCCTCTGCCAACCCAGCGCTGTTTCTGATTTGCACAGTTGGGAACCATTTCTTACCTTCTCATGGCACAAACCCCCAGAGTTCAGTGGAAAACGCCCTGTGCTTTTACCGACATTCCTGGTCAGCCGTTGCCATTATGTGGCAGTGACCTCAGGTTCAACATCCTCGGTGACTGTATCCTACCTAAGAGCTTTTCCAGCTGCTTACAATTGACCTACTCTTCCCTTCTTTCCTCAGCTGCAGGTTAGAACACAGTTTAACATTAAATATTCCTCCCCCAGGGTATGACCACGTTGCAGAACAGGAACGTGTTGAACCCTATCTCAATAAATGGCAACTTGCTGTATGTGACCCTTCCCAGGCATCCCACATGCACACGCGCGAGGGTTCATAAGCTTACCCTGTCAGGAGCACTCTCCTATGAACTTAAAAGTCAAGCCAAAAAAGCCAGTACAAATCCTACATACTGCTACTTACAGAGCAATTTTTGTGTTTGAGCAGCCATTTCCTATCTAAGAATTTGTTTTATCCACTCTGAATCATGTGGCAGAATCCTATTTTATAGGAACTTAAGGCATTGCCATATAAGTAACTGTTTTGCAGAAGATAAAGCATCATTAGCTCACAGCAGGTTAAGGATGCATATTTTTGAGTACAAAAGCCCTCCTTTAGCAAGGACTTTTTCATCAACTTTAAAGCTTGCTTGCTAGCTGAAAAAAAATGCAGTCAAGCACTTCTCTCCCAACTTCAGCAAAGCAGTCAAAGAGCAAGAAACGTGCTCAATGTAAACAGTCTTTCATGCTTACAACTCAATGCACATGTATGTCAGCATCTCTGTTTTCTGCTATCCTAAAATTGTTTCTTAGCAGTTCTTCATTGAACTGTTGAACATACATTGAACATTCAGTGTATAACTTCTTCATCCATTGTAAGCACTTCAGTGGTTCCTAATTTTTACAAGTGTTTCTGTTTTTTTAGAACAGACAAATATATTGGACCTTTCAGTCACCTAGTTTTGGAAATGCACACTCAAACGATGGGCTTCTACCTCAGTATAGCAGAATGTTTTGTTTCCTGTGCTTTTGGTTTTCTGCAGGGAAAGGGTTCAAACTAAAAGCTTCACTTTCTCCACCTTATCTGTAAGGATGACTTTGTGGTTCCTTTATCCCACATTTTTTGGCCCCATGCACATCACACCGAAGTACCCAGGTGTGAGACCGCAGCAGTCTCGAGGCGGCTGCTGCAGCGCCCGGTATAGCAGAATGTTTTGTTTCCTGTGCTTTTGGTTTTCTGCAGGGAAAGGGTTCAAACTAAAAGCTTCACTTTCTCCACCTTATCTGTAAGGATGACTTTGTGGTTCCTTTATCCCACATTTTTTGGCCCCATGCACATCACACCGAAGTACCCAGGTGTGAGACCGCGGCAGTCTCGAGGCGGCTGCTGCAGCGCCCGCCCTGGAGCCGCTGCCCTCATGGCTCTGCTCCCAGCCGAAGCCAGGGAAGAGGGAACGGCTGGAGAACAACCCCCCATCCCCACAGGGAACAGACGGCAGAGGAAGAGGGGGACAACGCGGGCGGGGATGTGATCCTGCCCCCTTCCATAGGGCCAGAAAAGCATCCTGCTTCCTGCTCCCGTGTCCTGAAAGCTGAACAGACTGTAACTGAAGGAGAAAACCACTCCTGGAGCTAAGAGGGAAATGCAAGCAGGGCACCTCAACCGCAGCAGCGCACGATTTCCAACTGATTCAACTGGCATTTGGTGCTATGCTTAAATATAGTTCCAACTGTCACATTCAAAATATATTTATATAATTTTGCATTAGTAAGAGACACTATAAAGAGGCAAGGTGCTGCGGGTTCGCTTTTTTCTTGTTTGCTGAAATGCCAGTGCAGATTTGCTACGAGCCAGGTGGCAGGGATAACAGGAACAGAATCAAGATAGTTTTATAAATGTTGACTTTGGATAAAAGTTTCTTATAGCCGAAAAAGCAGCAAAGCCATGTTCCTGTCGCAGAGTGTCTGCAAGCTTTATCCAGAAAATCCACCAACAGAACCCACCACAGCAGGGCCGGACAGACACTGCATCCCCGCACTGCCTGCGGCAGGAGAGCCCTTTGCTGAAGTGACCTGCACTGATCCTAACCAGGAGGAATCTGCCACCTACCCCCACAGGAAGAGACCCCAGGTCATGAGCCCCTTCCCCTCTGTTCCTCATCCCAACCTAATTTGGTGACAGCAGGCACCTACCATGAGCGACCCCCTCTAAACTGCACAGCAAGTGCAGCACTTTGATGCGAGCTCCGTTTTTGCCTGCCCTGCCCTCCTGGAAATAAGAACAAGCTGAAGCAATATTTAATTGAACAAAAGGGCCTGTGTGCACCAACAGAATGACGGTGCCATTTGCTGTCAATGAGGGCCGTGGAAAGGTCAACAGATAAAACAACTCATGTAAATACCCTGCACATCAGCCAGTCTGTCTGACAGACAGCCTCAGCTTGTCAGCAAAGCCTGAACACTCCTCGCACTAAACAGTTAGACCAGATAGGTAGGAAAAGAAAATAGATTTTCCCTCCATCTCCCCTGGGAATATAATATTTTCTTTGAGCTTGATCCAGCACAAAGTGCTCCTTCCCCAGAACTCCTATGGTGGGTTTAATCTTTGTAGTATTTCTGGATTCTTCCCCTCTGGTGCAGTCTGAATGTGTCTGACAGGGACCTGGCTGGGATGCCCAGCTGCTTTGCAGCACTACATTTATATCACCGTTTATTTATTTACAGAAACAACACCCGGCAGGAGAGGTTTTCACACCCGAGTGCTGTCGAGCCATTCACCTACTCCGTTGTTTTACCTGTAGCTTTATTGCAGTGTATCTGCACCCTGCTCCAGCACTGCAGGACATGCAGGTGCAGCCACATGGCCCAATCCCACAGCAACCCATGGAGCTCAGCACCGCTCCAGCCAACGCAGCCTCCAGGGCCCAGGCCCACTCTTCTGCTCACGTTGGGATGGCAGCAGCACTGATTCATTCATTTGTACGAGTTTGGTAATTAGGATCAAGCAGACTACCAAGAGGTGAATCTTAAGGAGATTACAGAGGATTTTTTAAAAAATCTGTAATTAGCCAGCTAATGATTATCCTCTCCTATTATAGAGGCAGGGGTGAGAGACAGACTCAGCAGAGCTTACCTTGGGTTCTTCAGGCTGGGTTTGGAGGAGCTCCTCTGCAGCACCACCACAGTTGGGCCAAGCGAGGAGTCTGTGCAGACCTCATGGCCCCGGCTAGATGGTGGCACCATTCACAAAACGTTACAAAACGATCCCAGCATCTCTACCAGCTTTAAACCTACCCTTTTCCAAGTAGGTCCGTGGTGCCCACGGAGGGTCCTCTTCAGCATAGGGATCGCTGTACTCCACCACAGCTGCTTCCTCTTCTTCATAATCCTCTGGAGGTGGGGGTGGAGGGGGGGATTCATCAAACACTGGCTCATCCACTGGTGGTGGCGGCGGCGGCGTATCTGAAACTGAAGGCAGTGGCAGAGCAACCATGAGAACATCCCTGGGAGCAGGGCAGCGGGTTGAAGTAACGCTCCCCATCCCAGCCAGGGGCACTGGGGCCAACCGCCAGAGCGCGTGGAAACACATGCGCAACAACAGCACGCGGAGGAGGGAGGACCGGGTTCTTCTGATAAAATTCTCTCCTTTGCCCCCTGCTTAGCAATTTCACACAAACTCACAGAGGCAGTAAAGAAGGCAGAATTCTGGCTATAAACAGGCAAATCTTTTGTCCACTCAAAACAAAAGCCACATCCAGTAATAAAACATAGCACAAGGAAGCAGCAAACTTACTGTTTTCTTGAACTCTGGCCACAAATCCCATTAATGGTAACTGGGGAGTTACCTGTAGGATGGAGGGGGGAGGAGGAGCAAGGGATGCTGCCACAGAAATTAAAAAGAAAGAAGCATCCAGTTAGAAACACAACAAAGCAGCAAACGGGAGAGTAGACATCATCACACTCAGACAACGTAGCAGTCTGCCAAGAAGCTGAGATAAAAGGACGCCATCCAAAGACAAATAGCTCAGGTGGTCTAGACGTATTCTTAATTCTTACCTCAAGATTTCTCCATTTTTAATATTACCAACCCAACTCTTTTTCATAAGATGAAGAGCCCATACTGAAGCCCATACTCTGATCTAATTATGAGACTCCCTTAAGTTGAATTTTATTCCTGCAGTAATACAGGTCTTTATGAGCAGACTAAAAAAATATGTCAAGGGGATTCTCACCACAATCCCCACCTTTTAGACCAAAAAAATCATTTCCGAAGGTAAAAGAGAACGCATCTTTTCCGTAACAGCATCTGTAAGTCCTAAGGACTAAAATGGATATAACTAGCTTTCTATAAAACACAAGCCAAAGCCCAAATGAGCCAGATTAAAGAGGCCTTTGGGAAACCAGCCATACGTGAACAGCAGCGCTTCGAACCAGGGAGCTGGTCCGCAGGGCAGAGCAGGGCCCGCTGCTTATTCCAGACGCGCTGCCTTGTTTCCTTTGCACCCGATCTGCAGACCTTGACCTCGACCAGAGCTGTTTTGCTGGCACCAGAAGAGCCGTCCTTGTACAACACATGTGAACTCACATCTAAAGAACACACCGTGCTCCGGTTTAAAAATGTTACTACACTAAACTCCAGTCTGAGCCAGGAATGAAAGTTGTGAGAAGACTTTACTATGTAAGGTTTCACTATCACTTTCCAAGGGGAATGCAGTACAATTGCTTGGTGTAACAAAAGCAAGTTACAAGATTATTTTTCAGAAAACATCTTGGGACAAGCACAATTAAATAACCTTCCCATTAGTGGTGGCATACAAAACATTTAATCAGGTCCAGGAAAAGAGGGAAAAAACAAATCTACACTTACATGTACCAGTATATATGTTTAGCTTGCAGAACAGAACTAATTACATTTCATCTAATTTCAGAGCTGGTAAGAAAAGATAATTTAGTATTATTCAGAATTAATTCAGATCACCACAGAAAGAGGAGAAAACTCCAAGTCTCAAAATTTCCTCTCATTTGTTTTATTTCCAGAAGTTCTTTGAATTTCTTCTGCCACCCTTTTTCCCACTCCTAACACTACCATGCACCCCAAACAAAGAGAAAGCATAAAGGAACAACTGTCTTTTTTGTTGCAAAAACTTACTTACAACTCCATACAAAACAAGCTCCATTATCTCACCATTTCATTCCTATTTCTTTAGGAAATCGAAATGCTTTTCTAATCACATCTTCTTTGACTTGAATGAAGTGACCCCAGAGAGTATTTGTTCCTTCAAGAGTAACCATAGTAGCTGGCAAAGGTTTTGTGTTGTATTTTTCGAAGCAGAAAAAGGGAATCTG